TATATATACACATACACACACACACACACACACACTATTAATTTTAATATGTCAGGTGTTATGTGTAGTCAACATCAGGAATTAATGCCATGATTACATTCTATCATTTAAGAAATCAGGTGTCAGCAGACTTACTCAAACTTGATATAAATTCTCAAAATAGGTGGCTGGGAGGAACCTTTGGTCTAATCCAGATCTCTCATTTTTTAAAAAAGAGAAAACAGGAATAAAGGTGAACTTGCTAAAATTAATTGTTTGAGGTCCAGTAAGTACTTCCAAAAATATAATCAGGGGTTTAAAGGGTCAGAATAACATGAACATATTACTTCTTGAGATATATATTACAAACTGTAAAAACGTTAAGTAATCAATAAATGTATATATAAATAATTAAGCAGCATTTATATAAAGGATACAGAGTTGAAATCCATCTCTCTAAAAGGTGCTCTGTCTTTTTTACAATTATAATATGTTAAGTGATTAAGATAAACAAAGTGTCCTATGAAAGACCTAAGAGGTGCACTTGGCCATTTGTAAAAGATAATCAGCAATCTTTCCAAGAACTCAGCAAATTGGAGTTTTATACAGTTCTGTATTCTGTGAAAGAATAAATATGAGATAATATGGCAACAGATCACAGGGTTAAAATAAAAACTGTTGAGATATAGAACTGGCAGTGGACCTTTATGCTATTTTAAGAAATTCAGATTTTATACTGAAAACTATGGGTTGCCATTATGTGATTTTAAGAAAGAAAGAAAGAAACGTAACCTGATTGGTAAATTTTTTAGGTTTTTCTGTGATGAGCGAGAAAAATAATTTCAATGAAAAGGAGGTTCCATCTATAATGAAGTACACCAGGTTGCAAGATATAAGCACAAAATGATTAAAACCTGAGCTAAAGAGATAGCAGTAAGGCTGAAGAAAAATCTTAGATTCCAGAAATATTATATGAGTAGAATCAAAAAATACTTTATTAATTGGATGTTTAGGGGAAGATGGAAAGATTGAGTCAGGTTTCTGGCTTAGGAAATCTTAGGATATCCAAGAAAAGAACTAAGTTTGAGAGGAAAGAGGATATGTTTTGACTTATTTAGTTCGTCATTATATATCTGTCTCAGATAACCAAATATCCAGTAAGTGATTGGATAAGTCAGCCTGGAACTCAGAAAAAGATAATTGTATCTTTTGATTGATATTGGGGTTTGTCATTATGTGAGGTAATTAAGGCCATGCTAATACATGCAATTACCTAAAAAATGATTTTAAAACAATCTTCATTGTTGAAAGTATTACATATGCCCCCCCCCCCCCCCCCATTTAGCCTTTTGGCAAAGTCACAAACAAGTCTTAACCCTATATCAGCTCCCCACATCTCATCTCACCCTTTTTTTTTTTTTTGCTTGTTGAAAGCAATGTCATACATGTTTTACTTTTTTCCTCACAAGAACATAAAAATTATGAAGGGGGAACTTAACAGGAAATTTAAAAAATGTAACACAATTTTTCCTTTTAGTAGTCCTTGGGTAGTTGTTCCATGCTCCCCGCAGCTGGCCCTCCCCCGATTGCCCCCCCAACCTTGATTGGGGGTGGGGCCTGCCAGCCAACCTCCCATGTCCCCTCACCCTGGCTGGCCCAGCCCAATTGGCCCAGATCAGGATGGGCCAGCCGGACCCCACCTGTGCACGAATTTGTGCACCTGCCTCTAGTGAGGTAATAATAGTGGACTGAAACTGTTGCCCTGGGGAAGGCCCATCCTAGAAACAGAGGATTAATATATTATTTTTTTAAGTTTAATTAAGTGCAAGAATTTTGCCTAATTTTTATAGTGACTTTCTCTAAAGGAGGAGTTCTTTCATTGTATTTTTTAAAATACATCTTATTGATTTTTTACAGAGAGGAAGGGAGAGGGATAGAGAGTTAGAAATATCGATGAGAGAGAAACATCGATCAGCTGCCTCCTGCACACCCCCTACTGGGGATGTGCCTGCAACCAAGGTACATGCCCTTGACTGGAATCGAACCCAGGACCCTTCAGTCCATAGGCTGACGCTCTATCCACTGAGCCAAACCGATCAGGGCCTTTCATTGTATTTTTTGAAATTCTAGAATTATAGAGTTATGTCTCAAGAGATTTATTTTTAAAAAGCATGATTAATGGATGACATGTGATATGTGATTTTTCCCATCAGTTACTAGTTTTATATCTCAGATAGCTTCAGAGAGTTTGAAGCCTGAGGCATAAAAAATATAAAATTGATCCTTTTGTTCGAAAGTGTTAGAAGAAAAACTATTATAAATTATTCTACCAACATATGTTGGCACCATTTGCATTTTCAGCTGAAATCAGATAGTAAAATCTTTTTGCTTTGATTGGAGGAAATGGGAAACATATGGTTGTAATGTTCATTTTAGTTGGATAATATCTGAGTAGTTTTAAATTATTTAAATGTGCAATTGAATTTATATTTGAACTATACTGTCTGTAATATACCATATATAAAGATATATGTATGTAAAGTTTTACTATTAAAAAGGTATGATTGATGAAACATAATTCAATTTTTGTCAGATATAGTAATCTTTCACAATGTTTCTAGTACCAGAAATCTTTTAGTTCATACATAGTTTGACTTAAGCATAAATTTATTTATTACAAAAAATCATCTCATAGTGAATGGATGCTAGGCCAAAGGCTTAAAGGATAAAGAGTGCCTATCTTCCTGGCCCAATCACAATAATCTCTCCCACCTAATATCTTTGCTTTTATTTAGATTTACCACTCA